CGCATTTTATGCAACTTTCAACTTTAAATTATAAGACATCATAATTTTTTCCCCGACAAATATTATTTTTAACTATTACATTAAAAACAAATTACATCAAAAACAAACTAATAACTTTTTTTTTTTTTAAGTTAGTGACCTTAAGATTAAATTTGACAATTTATGTGAATGGGGAGAAAAGAAAAGTGAAATAAATATTTTATTTTTAAATTATATATATATATATATATATATATATATATATATATATATATATATCACATCAATTGTCACATTTCATTAAATTATTTTGAAATAATTAGCTATATTTTGAAAATAAACAAAATTACAGCTTGATTTCAAAATTACGGTAGGCTAAATAAATGTGTGTACCGTAATCTCCAACCAAGCTGTAATTTTGTTTAAATTATGCAAAAATGAAAATATTTTTATTTTCAAAACAATTATTTTTAAAAATGATACTTTTCTTGAGATGAAATTATCGAGCTGTAATTTTGTTTAAATTATGCAAATATATGATTTTTATTTTATTTTAGATAGGCTACATACATACACGCTAGGCAACAAGTCTTATAATTATGCGAAAATGCCCTCAGTAATCTCTAGTCACTTGTGAACATTGTTTCAACTGAAATAAGCAGTAGTGGTAGTGAAAAATGTGTTTATTTACGTCCATTGGGCAAAAAAAGAGCCCATATTTGAGGAAACACATTTATAACACATGTCAGCACAGAGAACAAGATCGAGAAGTTCTCTGAATACTATATTTAGCTACATGTTAAAGTAGGCTATCTAACCGACTTTTGCTTGACGAGGTGTTCATTTCGCTCGCTTGTGTTACAGTCAGTCATTTCGGCCATTACAACCTCTGAATTGATCCAAACTGACAAATTATTGAGGCGAAACCGAAACAGAGAGAAACTTTCACAGCTTTTCACAGTTGTGTTTCAGCTCGTGTCAACAGCATTTAATCAACATGAGGGAAACGGTAAAGTCCGTCCGAAGAAAAACACCCGATACTTCTTCATAAACAGCATTATGACCTTTAAATATGCGCGTACACATCTATAAAGCACAACATATGTGACTGACACATGACAAACCAAACGGGTTCATATTCCCTTGAAACCATCTGACCTAACTTATTTTGACAAGATAACCGCTTCGTTAAACCACTAGCGAGAGAGGGTTTGAGATAACGTTTAAAGTTGCGCAAAAAAGCTGATCTATTCTAGACATTTAGGTCGGTGAAAACGTGTGGAATTAGGCTACCACACACACACACACACTCTCTCTCTCTCTCTCTCTCTCTCTCTCTCTCTCTCTCTCTCTCTCAACATTCAGCGAGCTAACTGATGATCTCTATTTACAACTCTCATTATCACTAAAATATTAGCAGGCTGAAGCAAAGATGGGGTGAATTATAGTCCATTTATCAGTTAGGCTATCTTGTTTCTTCCGTCGCAAAAAATATCTAAACCACAAACACACAGACACACACACACACACACACACACACACACACACAAACAGGGGATTACGAGAAAAGAGAGCCTCTACATCCTCCAGCACTCACACCTTTGCTGTCACATCCTTCTCTGTCCCCTAAAACTTTCCACTAATCATCAACACCATCATCCATCCCAGCAGTCACACACACACACACACACACACACACACACACACACTACGGTCTCTAGCTCAGTGTTAAGTTGTGGTCTTGTGGAAATATAGTTTGCTTGGTTCTTCAGTTTAACAGCACATGTTCACTCATCTGAACTGTGTCAATACATTTTAAACACGTTCTTCATCCCTGAACCAGCGCTGTGTTTAATCCGACAGCTCAGGTAATGCTCATTAATGTATGACCCATTTCAGGCTCAGAATTACGATTTAAAATCAGTCTGAGAGCTTGACATCAGCTTCTGAGATATTAACAATATATATATATATATCAGAAAATGGTCCTCGTTTCTTGGCCCTAATAACCCGATATACTGAAACACATGAAGAAACTGACCTGGTCTTCTCCATCTCTCCGTCGTCCAGCGGGAGCTCAAGTCAACTTTCAGACCTTGATTTACTCAAGGTTTTGAGATAAAGCTAGGGTTTCCCTTTTCGTTATATCTTTATCACTCTCTCTCTGTTTTCGTTTGAAGAGAATACAATGGTAAAATCCTTGCGGTTTGTTTCTCGCTTCTGTAGAAACCGCGTGTCACTTCTGTCAGAAAAGCTCCTCTAAAAATCCCCTCGCTTTTCTTTCCTTAAAATCTCCGTCACAGGCACAGAAATGCGTTTTCCTCTTCCTAAATGACGTTATTTCGGTGATTTGACCTGAAAAGGCTACGAATGGGAATGCATTTATCATTTTTTCCCCTAATATGAATGTTTATGTCTACCTTTTAGACTATAGTTTCTTCAAAATTGATACAACTTTTTAATAACTTTTAGTAGGTCTAATCAGGCCTACCTACAATTAGCAACAAATCTACATTATAAGGCCAATTTAAAAAAAAAGTGTATTTTCAAAACCCCTTCCTTCACATTTCTAATGTAGGCTACATGGACTTGTTTTGTATTTTCAAAAATGCTTTTGAATTTGAATGTACATTGACTTGTTTTCTACAGTTTGTTAATAAAGTGGTATAAAAAGACTTGAACTTGCACTGATTTGTGTAATGTAATGAGAATCTGTGCTCAGTTCTGTAACTCTATCGCCTCCTTCAGGACGGTGTACATCATGAGATAATACACTATATGTGTCAATTACTATTGTTTGATTTGTTCATTGCAAACATCTGAAAGTCTGTACATTTTGCCAATAAACCAGTTTTGCAATGGGGGGTGAATAATTTCGATTACAACTGTAGCTAAGATTTCTGATCGTTTAAGCGACCTGCCTATTAAAACACAGACATGTTTTCAGTTTCCAAAATGCCAATAATAATAAAAAAGCTTCAGTAGTTTCATATATTTCAGAGATTCTACATGCATGTTCAAAATCTCCTTTGTTTTGACATTTCTGTGTTGAAAGTTTGGACTGAAGCAAACAAACGTTGGTCAAGCGACTGTACGATTTCAACACTGTCAAAACCCCTGCTGACCTAAAAAAAACACGAGATTATCATCAATGTCACAATCTATGACTTGTCGAGACACTCAGATGTTCATCATAATGTCATCTAAATGTCATTACAGTTTTTCTCAGTCGCTTTGGTGCATTTCTCAGATCAGAATTGAAATTCTCAAAACTACCTGTTCAATCTTCACATCATCAAAACCAGTGTCTCATTTCTTTGAACAAGTTGCAAATGCTATAGATCATGCAAATGATTACTTACAATTCTCATGTCTACAGTTCTTATGTCATGTTGATCAAAATTTAATGGGTCTCTGTTAAATAGTCCCCCCCCCCCCCCCCCCCCTTTGCTTTGCTTTGCTTTCTTCTCCTTTCTGTATCGCAATGACACGGTCTGTCAACAAATTACAGTACAAACAGTAAAAGTGTAAATGTGAATCTTGTCCAGTCTCTTGCAATCAAACTCCCTCACACACTAAGGTGTGTAATTACAATATGTGTCATCAAAACTGTATCCAGTTTACATCAGGACATCTCCAGAGTACACTGTTATACTGACAACATGACTAAGCAGTTTGACTGTGTTATCCGTACACAAACACAAGCACTTGTCGTTCTGATGCGCTGACATGTTCACTGACACAGATATTTACTTCTGAGAGATGAACTGAGGATTGTGAGCAAGAGACTCGCTTTTGCAGGAGATCCAGGGTTTTTTGCTATTTGTACGAATTGTTTTGAGAAATGCACTTACTGTTTTACAAATGTCGAGGATGATTCGAGAAATGTACCAAAGCGACTGAGAAAAACTGTAATAAAACGTGAACATGCCAGACTTTGCTATAAAACATGGAGAAAGTCACTGCAGAGACAAGGTTGTTGTTGAGCAGAAAATTACAAAAACATATTTGAGAACGATAGATAGATAGATAGATAGATAGATAGATAGATAGATAGATAGATAGATAGATAGATAGATAGATAGATAGATAGATAGATAGATAGATAGATAGATAGATAGATAGATAGATAGATAGGTTTTTTAATTAATTATAATAATAACATTTATTTTTCTTGCAGGATTAACAATTATATGCTTTTGAAACCTAAAATGTTTCCAAACACTTCTGGCCAAGGTCAGTCAGTGTGTCTGAATCATGTTCGGATATAACCAAAGGGGAAGTGAAACTACAGATGTTTAAATATATAAACTCATGACTTTGAATAACAAAGCTTCTACCTAGCAACAGAAGAGTTTGCTGAATAAGAACCAATCATTTTGGAGAAAAATTATGTAATGAATCATGTCACCTTTGCCATGCTCTTATTCTATAAAAACTATATATTCACACCTACTCTTTTTGCTAGTGGAAAATCTGCCACAATAGATGGATGGATAGATAGATAGATAGATAGATAGATAGATAGATAGATAGATAGATAGATAGATAGATAGATAGATAGATAGATAGATAGATAGATAGATAGATAGATAGATAGATAGATAGATAGACAGACAGAAGGATAGATAGATAGATAGATAGATAGATAGATAGATAGATAGATAGATAGATAGATAGATAGATAGATAGATAGATAGATAGATAGATAGATAGATAGATAGATAGATAGATAGATAGATAGATAGATAGATAGATAGATAGATAGATAGATAGATAGATAGATGATGATATAACTTCCCAACAAAAATATTCTTCTAAGAGCGTTTTGCTAACCTTCCCGTAATGAAAATGTTATTTCTGAATGTTCTCTGACCGGAACGTCCCTAACCCTAACGAAAATAAACGTTACTTTTTTGTTCATTTGTTTTAGTGCTAACGTTTTGAGAACATTATTAAAGACCAGATTACTATATGAACGAAGGTTTGTTTATAACTTTGAGAGAAGTTTTGAGAGCGTTCTAGCTCTACTTTAATCGACAGGCGGAACGTTGTTTCTGGAGCTCGTGTTTCCTGACCGACTCTTTGTTGTGGCGCACACGGAGAATTCACATGTTAGCTTGAAAACACCCAACGCTTTATTATATTCTATGTTTGTCTACATTTATTTTCATCAGCTTGACCATGTCAGCATCATTGATCCGAAGGGGACTTGAACTGTTCAGCGAGAAAGGTAACTGGTCGATTTTTGATCTAGATTCCTAGTATTCCCTGGTGAAAAATAATAATATGCTAACTATACTTGCAGCCAGACTTATTCAGTGTAAGTTACTTCAAGTGTGTTAATGATTAGTAAACTTGAAGTGTGCTATTTTGGAACAACTAATTTTGCACCAAGTATATTTTAGTTGTAATTAAATTGTAGAAAATCATAACTTTAAGTGTATTTTGTGTGCTAAATTGGAACAACTTCAAGTATGCTGTAAGTATAAGCATGTGTAGGGACTAATTACATCCTTGATTAGTGATATTAAAGTTTACTTTATTTGTGTTACAAGTACACTAGAAATTCATTACGAGTGTAGCAATATACCATAAGTGTATTATATTTGAGTAAACAATAGCATTAATGTCTACAATAACAAACGCACATTAATAATAAACAAATATTACTTGGGTTTACTTTGTACAATATACTATTGTATACCAATGTATTTTGAAAGTATACTTTGTGCATTGATGCATTGTTACAATGATCATTTTCAGCAAACAGTTAAAAATATACAAAAGTGCAATTTAAGTAAAGTGCAAATAAATACACTTTTAAAAAATAGAGAGTTTTCACTTCAAGTATATTTTTCTAAAATATATTAATATAATATAATATGTGTATATATACTAAAGTACAATTATTTTAAAGTGTGTTAAAAGTTGTATTGTGAAAATGAAAAACAGTACGTTTAGTATATTTGCCATGTACTTTTAAAAAAGGGAATATGTTTCAAATACAATAAAAGTATACTCTTTTTCACTAGGGTAAGTTTGTAGTAGCTATTTGTGTGAAATCAAAGGCGAAATAATACACATACAAGTGTTTTTGTGTCGGCGTCTGTAGATGCAGTGAAGCACAGGCCGAAGAAGAGCAGCTCTCGTAAGAGTGCGCTGATGAAGCGGATCAGCACCGATAAACAGGGCGTCCAGAAGCGGATCCGGCAGATCCAGAGACCCGGAGGATCCTCGCGGAGAAGCACAAACACGGTCAAAGACAAACACGTCCGATCCGCTCTGGGTAAATCTCTCATCCTCAAACCTCATCGCTCCGCCAGTAACGTTACCCCAGCTGACCAATGTTTCTGCTTTTCTCAGACGAATACAGAAAGAAACAGAAGAAGAGCAAACTCGGATTAAATCTGAAGTATTTCCTGTCCTCTGCTAGTAAAACTCAGAGCAGCCACGCAACCAAGGTCTGAATCTCCTCAGGGTTATCCGGTCGGGGAACACCGGGCTTTTCACACTGGAACTAGTTAACCCTGTGTGTTCATACACCGGTGTAACACTGTGCATCTGGGTTAACGTCCTTATTTGCATATTCATGTGTCGGTGTCACTGATTGGACAAGCGCACCACATGACCCGTATATAGGCGTGAGCGTGGACACTTTTCACAGACTGTGATGACGCGGTTTAACGGTCATTAGCATCATTTTTTTATTATTATGTACATTTATAACAATATACATTACAGTTTTATATTACTTCTAATAAACGTATTTTTACGTGTTTACGTGCAAATCACAATCTGGCAAAAATCATAACTGGAAATGTATTCAAATATTTGTGGTCTCTTTAAAAAAACGTGCAATTTTGACTGGAAAATTAAGGAATTTGAAGTTACTTTTAGCAGCGAATTTTTTTTTTTTAAAGTGACATGCATAACAGAAACCGTCTATTACTAGAATGATTTTTTTTGTTGATATATTTGATTTGATATATCACAAATAACTTGACTATAACTTAGCTTTTTTGACGGAGAGAACATCTTTCTCTCTTCTGACTGCGTTATCAATCTCTCTATTTCTCCCTCTTTTTGAAAAGTTTTTTGCTATTTTAGCAAAAATTGGAACATGCTAATGCTAAGCAACCAATCACGAGCCTCATAGCAATGCTAAGCATCTAGTCGTAACTTCTAAAGATCCGTTCAAACCATGGACGATAACTATAACGATAAAGATGTCGTTTTCTAAATATAAAAGAATATTCCACACCACAGAAGAATGATATTGGCGAAATCACTTTAAAAAAAAAAAATTCCAGCTAATGAATGTTAAAACATTGACAGCCAATCAGAATCCATCGTGCTTTAAGGAGCGCAAGCATTTAAAGAGACAGACGTCAAAACTGCAGCGCTTATAATAAACAGAACGATATTGTTCAATGGTGTGGACGGCCGCTAATATAGTTATTGTTATGGTTATAGTTATCGTTCTTAGCCTAAACACCTCACAAGTTTGGCATCACAGTGCTAAACCGGCGCTAATCCGGTTCTGATTTTATAATCCCGTTGAAAGCGCGGATCAGAGCGAGGATAACCCGGGGTTAAACGCAGTCTGAAAAGCCCTATTCAATCAGTGTGATATATTATGTATGTTAAATGATTTAAAAATGTATGTTTTGTTTAGATCGTAGAGCAGAAATCCAGTCGCCGCGCTTGTCATCAACCGGACCGACCCGCCAGAAAGCCGGCGGAGGAGTCCGTCTTCACGGAGGACGAGTTCCAGAAGTTCCAGAAGGAGTATTTCTCAAATCTATAACGTCTGTGAGGACTTTATCCCGCAGGACAGAGATATTAATCCTGGGATCGTCCTTCTGGAATCGATACTGGACCGCAGATATTGTGTTTTATTGAATAACTCGTTTTTTCAACTTTTGTTTGTGTAACCATGTTTCTCTTCATGCACCACCATTGAAGTTAATAAACACAGACCTTTTGTTGTTCATCTCAAACCCTCGAGGGAAACTAAGGTCACGAATCGACCACCAACACATTCACAGTCGTCATCGAACAGGAGAATGAAGCGTTTCAGGATGAAGACGAGTGTCTTCTGTGTCAAAAACACACAGATGCACCTTTAGACAAGCTTGTAAACTGAGTGAAGTTTATTTGTTAAGAAATAAAGAAGATATACTGCTGATCTGACTGTGAGTAGATGTTGCATTTAATCTCAGAAAGTAATCAATAACCATGTAGAGCTTCATGTTTATCTGTCTGATGGCATTTAAATTCATGTGTTTAGAGGTAAAGATCAATGTTGTTGTAAAGCTGTCTTGCATGTGTCTGGTAGAGGAATGATGATCCGCTGTGATGGATCGTCCAGTAAATGAGCCCGTTCTGCCGGACCGCCTCTTTTTAAAACAGTTTCAGATTTCTGTGGAAACCGTCATGCATTTCATTTCTCAGGATTTTTTGATGAACAAAGTTCTAAAGAGCAGCATTTATTTGAAATAATCATTGTAACATTATAAATGTCTTTACTGTCACTTTAGATCAATATTTTTTTTTAAAAGCCAAACATTTGAACATACGGTATTCTAACTATGCCTACCTTTTAACACTTGTATGCTAATCGCCCGCAGTGAGATCCAACGAACACACACACACACATCTAGTTTTGTGTAAAACATTCTAATCAGATAATGAGTCAAGAAAGAGATGTAAAAATGACAACAGTTCAGTCACATTGATTGTTTTCATTGCTTTTGTACGTCTTGCGCATACAAATGTGAATGTCAAACAAATAATGCAAGAGCTTCTCTCTGAGCTTGTTGGGTCAGGTTTCTGTCATCAAATGATTTGTGTGCATTTCTTGTATTTTTTCTTTAGTGACATTTTTGAAGTGTGTCTGAAGCACTAGCATAGCCAGAAAAGCATCTCTTGGTGTGCATAAGAAAAGCTGGGTGTGCCACATTGTCAGATCAATGTGCAAGAAAACCCCAACCCGGCGTATCACTAACTTTACAGAATAGACTGATGTGTAAAACTATACTCAGGCTCGCCACAAAACCATAATACTAGGCCTATATAAAATATAACTTAACATTAAGGCTTTTCTTGTGCTTTTTTCCACACTCTCTTCAACCCTCATCAGTGATGCTGACATCAGGTTTGATGTGGAAGTTTTTTGTCTCGTCAGACTCAGGAATCAGACGGGCATGTTCAGGTCAATTCACCTTTATTTATATAGCGCTTTTTACAATACAGATTGTATCAAACAAAGTTGTTCAGGTCAAAAGTGCACAGGCGGTTGCCAGGTAAGGTTTCAGACAGCTTTCACTTTTCTGTTGGGTCTGTCTATAACAACAAAATGAGTGAAAGTCAAAAAAGAGGGGAGATTGGATTTTTAAATATCATCTTACAGCGTGCAAAGCTGTATCATAATATGTGCCATATTTAAAATGTTGATAAAATGAGATGCCCAGTGATGGCGTCAAGAAGGCATCCGGAACAGATGCCCGAGCCACCTCAGCTGACCCTCTCGATGTGGAGGAGCAGCGGCTCTACTCTGAGCTCCTCCTGAGTGACCGAGCTTCTCACCCTATCTCTAAGGGATCGCCCAGCCATCCTGCGGAGAAAGCTCATTTCAGCCGCATGTATCCGGGATCTTGTCCTTTCGGTCATGACCCAAAGCTCATGACCATAGGTGAGAGTAGGAACGTAGATTGACCGGTACATCGACCGCATTACTGCAGAAGCTGCACCGATCCGTCTGTCAATCTCCCGTTCCATCCTTCCCTCACTCGTGAACAAGACCCCAAGATACTTGAACTCCTCCACTTGAGGCAGGAACTCTCCACCAACCTGAAGTGGGCAAGCAACCCTTTTCCGACTGAGAACCATGGCCTTGGATTTGGAGGCGCTGATTCTCATCCCAGCCGCTTCACACTCGGCTGCAAACCGTCCCAGTGCATGCTGAAGGTTCTGGTCTGAAGGGGCCAACACGACAACATCATACGCAAAGAGCAGAGACGAAATCGTGTGGTCCCCAAACCGGACACCCTCCGGCCTGCGCCTAGAAATTCTGTCCATAAAAATTATGAAAAGAACCGGTGACAAAGGGCAGCCCTGCCGGAGTCCAACATGTACCGGGAACAAGTCTGACTTACTGCTGGCAATGCGAACCAAGATCCTGCTCCGGTCGTACAGGGACCGGACAGCCCTTAACAAAGGGCCCCGGACCCCGTACTCCCGGAGCACCCTCAACAGGACGCCGCGAGGGACACAGTCGAATGCCTTCTCCAAATCCACAAAGCACATGTGGATTGGTTGGGCAAACTCCCATGAAACCTCCAGCACCCTGGACAGGGTATAGAGCTGGTCCAGTATTCCCCGGTCGGGACGAAAACTTCATCCAAGGTTCTATTATCGGCCGTATTCTCCTCTCCAGTACCCTGGCATAGACTTTCCCGGGGAGGCTGTGAAGTGTGACCCCCCTATAGTTGGAAAACACCCTCCGATCCCCCTTCTTAAAAAGAGGGACCACCACCCTGGTCTGCCATCCCAAAGGTACTGTCCCCCGACCACGCGATGCTGCAGAGGCGTGTCAGCCAAGACAGCCCCACAACATCCAGAGACTTGAGGTATTCAGGCCAGATCTCATCCACCCCTGGTGCCTTGCCACCGAGGAGTTTCTTGACTACCTCTGTGACTTTAACTTGGGTGATGGGCCAGTCCATCTCCGAGCCCCCAGCCTCTGCTTCCTTAATGGAACACGTGTCGGTGGGATTGAGGAGATCCTCGAAGTATTCCTTCCACCGTCTAATGACATCCCTAGTTGAGGTCAACAGCCGCCCACCTCCACTGTAAACAGCATTGGTAGGGCACTGCTTCCCTCTCCTGAGGCATCAGACGGTTTGCCAGAATCTCTTCGAGGCCAGCCGGCAGTCTTTCTCCATGGCCTCACCAAACTCCTCCCAGGCTTGACGACATCCCTTACTTCCGGTGTCCACCACCGGGTTCTGGGATTGCCGCCTCGACAGGCACCGGAGACCTTACGGCCACAGCTCCGAGCGGCTGCGTCGACAATGGAGGTGGAGAACATGGTCCACTCAGACTCAATATCTCCAGCCTCCCTCGGGATCCGGTCAAAGCTCCACCGGAGGTGGGAGTTGAAGATCTCTCCGACAGGAGACTCGGCCAAATATTCCAGGTGGTGATCATGACAGCTCCGCCCCTCTCTTCACCCGAGTGTCCAAAAAACACGACCGGAGGTTGGATGAAACGACCACAAAGTCTATCATCGACCTCCGGCCTAGAGTGTCCTGATGCCACATGCACTGATGGACACCCTTATGCTTGAACATGGTATTCGTTATGGACAGCTGTAACTAGCACAGAAGTCCAATAACAGAACACCGCTCGGGTGCAGATCAGAGGGGCCGTTCCTCCCAATCACGCCCCTCCAGGTGCCACTGTCGCTGCCCACGTGGGCGTTGAAGTCCCCCAGTAGAACGACGGCAGTTCAAGGAGAGGAGCTCAAGAAACATTTCTGGTTATCAATGTTTTTACTGGTATACAACAAGGTCACGAATTATTATATCATTTGCAATATTTACTTAAAACAAGGGAATTAATAAGTAAACTGACGTATTATTAAGTCTTGGGAACTAATTGTTAATTCATGGCTGAGATATATCATGTATGGGACTCCATAAAATGTAAAGACCCTTTACACTTAATGAATGTTGGTAACTAGACAGTTGATGGGCCCCGTTGACTTCCATCGTATTTTTTTCATACTATGGAAGTCAATGAGGTCCATCAACTGTCTGGTTACCAACATTCTTCAAAATATCTTCCTTTGTGTCCAGTAGAAGAAACAACTTGTGGGAGAGTAAATGATGACAGAATTTTCATTTTTGGGTGAACTATCCCCTTAACTATCCCTTTAATGACAGATGCAGACATGTGTTTGGCTTCTTCAAAAAGCAAGGAACAAGACTGAATTCATTAACATATTGTTAAGGTTAATATAGACTAAAAACCCTAATATTATCCTATTAATCCTCATAGGATTAATCCTCATAATCATTTCCTGATTCCTCAGCTTCTGGGAAGTGGGAACGTTCCCACCAATCTCAAAACCAAACCTACGCCCTTGTTTACAACTATAGGACAGGAAGAGCTAAATAAACTTATCATTGCATCTAAACCAACAACATGTTTGTTAGATCCAATACCCACTAAACTACTGAAAGAACGTGGAGAAAATCCTGAGAAACTATCAGTCCCAGATGGAAGACGTCGAGGAGTGTGTGAGGATCGTCATCGCCCGGATGAATTATGGCATCTAATAAAATCTTTCATTCTCATGCCATTAAACCACTCCAGTCCTCACTATCTTCAAGAGACTCATTTATATATAAAGAGTTTAAAATATAGAGTCAAATATTGACACATGACAATGACATTTGGAAGATAATGTTGGTAAATGCTTGTTTCTATCGTGAACGTATTTTGAACTGAGAATAGGCACATATTCTGCATGACTTATGACTGAGACTCTACAAGACCTCCACCATTACACATTTCCAGACGAAGTAACATGTGCTGAAAATATGAATTATAATGTAATATTTTAACAACAAGTCAAGTCAAGTCAAATATATTTATATAGCGCTTTTCACAATACAGATTGTATCAAAGCTGCTTCACAGTATCAATCAAAACAACTTAACAGTGTTTGTTTATTTCTGGAAAAGAAATCCAACAACAATAATTGTGATGGTCCTAGTTTCAGCTAAAGTAATTAATAAAAGGATATGCAACAATGGGTCCCTTATCTAATGTGCACCAGAAAAGGAAACCTGCTGAATAGGACCTCGAGACTGGTATAAATGCGGC